CCCCAACCTCATTAGTAATAGCTCTTGAGGAATAGCAAAAGCAATGCCGAAACCCAGGATCGAACTAGGGACCTTCGCATGGCGTTTAATTATACGAGTGCGACGCTCTACCACTAAGCCATTCCGGCGATTCACTCACTTCTTCCGACATTGAACCTCAACATTAAGAGGAAGTGATAAATTACAGACTCACAGCAGTGCCTCGCAAGAAGGATGAGTGCAATTTTTAACTCCAAAACGTTAGAATCAACACTAGGCAAGGGAGGCATGCATTCAGGAAGTATGCAATTTGCTATACAATAGGTTATAACGAATGTCGATAAAGGAAAGTTAAAGAACACGTTTACAAGCGCCCTATCATTTGAGGAAAAAAAACCTACTAGTAAATATATAAGGATCATTAGGTGACGGTTCTACACGTAAGCAATATAATCATACTAAGAGAATGTGGCTTGTTATACGCAAGGAACGAGAGGAAAAAGGACTGGACGTCAAGAATGACTACAGGTTAATAGATGCGATAGAAAAATTCGAGTAATATGTTAAGATATGAGATTAGTTGATGATGAATTAGAGCCAGTGAAAGAACACTGGGATGAAATCATGGCGACATGTCATTCATGTGGATTATTAGCGATTTGATCTTCTCCAGTCGGAGGGGTCCCAATGACCCCGAGAGCGTGTCTGATGCCAGGCATCACCATGCATAGAAACTGATCGTGAGGGTCCTTGGGTTGGGGACGATAAATGACTCGAGTTGCGTGGGACCGGAGTGGGTGGGATGGTAGTAGGCAGTATTGGGTGGTCCCATATGGGATGAGGCTGAAGAGTGAACGGTGGCGGAATAATTTGACCAGCACCTCTTGTCGAGGACGGGCTCGCAGGTCGTTGAATGTCGTCTGCGGAAGGACCTGGTGATCCAGGAAGTATAATCGGCGGCAGCTTGAGTTCCTCTTCGGTGAAACTTGGTCCAGGATCCAAGGCATGTGAGCCCCTGGACGAGCCAATGTTGGGATTCTGGCTCCAGTGAGTGTCATCGATCGGGCCGAAGACAGATTCCCTCCTTGAGTGACTCTCGGGATGGACGCTAGAGGACCATCCGCCTGTGTACGGCACTTCGAAAGGACGCAAGTCATGAGAACCAACTAAAGAGGTCCATCCTGGTGCCCCACTTTCAGCAGACTTCGAGGTTGTTGGACGGCTGTGTACCATGCTCGAGTGGCTGTATGTCGGAGGAGTGATGTCGTAACTTCCTTCAACTCGAGATCCCGATGTATATTGCGATATCTGCACATTTGCTAGTGAGTGGGTTCGTAAATCCTCTTCATCATATGGCCTCGGCGTTTGAGAGCCAGTGGGGAAATCAAAAGAGCGAGAGGTGTGTAGATAAGGCGCCGATGAAGGTCGCTTACCACGATCTTCGGGCCTATCGTGTATCTCCTCCTCGTCGCGTTCAGGCACTGAGGGTGCTTGACTGCTTGGACCTTCATTCTTAGCCCGCCGAGCTTTCTGGCGTCGATTCTAAAGATGACGAAAAAGAGTTCATGAGCTGAGTTGCCCTCTGAGATCCTGCCAACGCTCAGCGCACCTGAAACCAGACCTTGGAGACGTTGGGGGGATCAAGGTCAGCTATATGTTATCACAATGATAGCAGTATCGCACCTGAACTTTGCGAGCAGAAAGGCCGATTCTCCGACCCAACTCCTCTCTGCGTGCCGTTGAAGGAAAAGGTGTCTGGAGATGATCATTAGCAATCCCTCAGAAGTGTAAAACTACAAATCCTCACCTCAGAAAGCAGTTTGTTAAGCTCCGCACTTTGGTGACTTGTTGGCAACGTTCTGGTCCGCTTTTTCTTTACTCTTAGAGTGCTCCCATGAGGAACCAGCATTCCTTCACCTGAAGCCAACAAATCACCCCCCACCTTCCCGCTGCTTCGTTCCGAATCTGCGTCAGATGAATTATACCCTAGACCAGAATCGTCCGGTTCATCCGCGTCGATACTTGCTGCTTGACTCAGCTGGCTGCCCCGTCTGAGAAACTGTCCATATAGCTTTCCAGAGTCCTCCATTTCCCGGCTGAGACTTACATTCGTATGCTCTAATCTCGTCCTACCAGAACTGTGTGGTGGACGAGATTCGCTGAACGAATAGGTAGCATTACCGGGCCCCACGTGCCGACTGGTCTCCGCCGGACGATTGCCAGGGTGAATGGTACTTTTTCGAACCCGTCCCGTGATTGGAGTTACAGGAGATAATTGTTCAGCATGACTCTGAGAGGATGGATTATAAAAGGGAGATGAGGATTGAAAAGGATGTGAAGCCAGGTCTTCCAAAGAGTTGGTGGAAGGTACAGGACTTGAACGTTGTGACAGAACTCGGTCAACGTGTTGGGGAGCGGGTTGTCTTGAATTGGTATAACGAGCATTAGACTGTGATGAAGACGGTCGGGCGATCGCCTCCTCTGGAGCTGCACCGGTGGAACCACGGGGTCTCATGTCAAGTACGTATGGATCACGTATACAAGTTCTTGTTAGCCGTTGGAGTATCGCGTTAGAATTATCTTGAAAGCCGGTGAACGTGGAGTCAAGGTGCTGCAGAGGGTAAGGACCTGCGCATGGGAAGGTATGAAGTTGCGTTGTGGCAAGTGTTTTGTCCAAAGACTATATGATGACACGCGCTGCTGGAAAGTGTTTGGAATATCCGCACAAAAAGCGCTCGCAGGTTAAGACGAGGGTGATAACGAGACAATGAATGCCTAAACGGTTAAACTCACCTCTAACTGCGCCGAGGCTCTCTCCCGGCCAGAGATCTCTGACGTTGCAGTGGCTAGTGGGGAGGGTTGACTCGGACACGAGCTGTTCGTGGGGTTTTGTGATGCTACACGTAGGCGCGACCAATGATTGTCAGGCAGGTCGCAAGTGCCGAAAATGAATAGAGTAGGTGTTCCGCAAAAATTATGTATGAGTAGGTTGGAATATTAGATGTAGTAGGTTGAGAGAACGAAAGAGGGAAAATACGGATCAGCACGAATGGCTTTTTAGAACTGTCCGAGGATCCCGATAATGACAACCTTCTTCTACTTCTGCATAAAAAGCCATAGTAGACTTGAAGAATTCGGAGTATTGTTTCTGGCGCGGAAACGACGCTAGAAGCTCTGCCAGATGATCCACACAAGGAGGGTTGATGGCACCCGGTTGCTCGGTCGGTGACAACATGCCTTAAAATGGCAATCGTGCTAGCGTGGCGATTACAGCAACAGCTCGCTCTTCCAGGTTCGGGAACAAGTAAGGAAGGGATGTCTTGAGTGCCACTGCGGCAAATCAGGACTCGTCAATACAATCCTGATTAGTCAGCATGTTGTTGCTATAGCTGCTTCCTGGATCGTCAACGACCGCCACAACGTCAAGGCAACCACGTCAATCGCTATCGGGCGGTCCGGTCGATCTTGATAGATTATTTAGACGGTCGCAATTAAAGAACGGTGCGGATGAATTAAAAAGGAATCAAACATAAGTAGATGATGAAGGGACCAGATCTACAGATCTACCTTTGGGGGACAACTGAAACAGTAAAACATCTTCATGTTAGCCAAACCTACGTTCTCACTGCTGCGTCACGCCTCCTGTTTACAGGGTTTCCCTTACAAGTCAATATCAAACCCCATTTCAAGGGCCTTACCCAAAGGCTCCGAAGTACCGACGTTATTCTTTGGCTTTTTCACTTTACTTGTGATAACACACCGATAGAGTTACTTTAACACCCGAACCGATGCATATCGAATCTATATGAAAGATGAGAGGATGCATCGCGACGGTCGGGTTCTTGAACGAAAGGGTTAGATTGATCGATAGTAAGAACCTCTCAAAGCAACATGTCGCTTTAGCAAAACATGGCACCTCAATCCACAGCACTTTCCCGTTGTGAACACTTCCGCTGTCTCCAACAACAAGATTTCCGGGTAATGGAAGAATAACTGCCGACTCGGTTTCCAATACAGAGCATGAAGAAGCACCGTATCGCACACTGCCCAAGGCTGACCTGAGACAACTTAAGGATTAACGTAGGGATAATTGAATTGAATAGCTTATTCAAGGGCAAATAACGCGTGATGCCGGATGTTCACGTGCTTTAATAATAGATCGGCGAGATACGTAGGATCATTTCTTATCCCCACAACCCAAGCCATTGACCCACATAATCATGTCTGAACCACCAAGTAAGTAGAAGCAAGGCACATTCGTGTGCAAGAATTGACAATAGAATGCTAGAGTACGATACGCTGTCATGGGATGAGAAACCGGTGGAAGATACGGGGTCTTCTCTGAAAATTACTCGAGTTCGAACTACTCGCAAGTTTACCGGAAAGCTGGCTGGGACTGGAGTAGCAGAATATTTAATGGTCTACCACCCAAGTGATGCAAAAGATGTCCACGCAATGACAGCCAGTTACACCGGTCTCATGTTGTTCAAAGGAACGTTCAATAGAGGAGAAGAGGGCGAGGCAGTGTTTATTGTTACTACTGGAAAGTATGAGGGGGCTGCGGTAGCAGAGTGGATTGTCGATAGTAAGAGTACTTCAGGGGGTTTGAAGGGGCTCAAAGGAAGGGCGGGGTATAACAGCAAAGGGATGACAGGAACAGAAGTCTGGGAGGAGTTATCCATTTAAATGGTCGTCCTTCGCAAAACGCAACCTTGTGTCTGAATACGTCTAATGAAAAATCTTGTTATACAATTGCTCGGATACACAGGATGGTCACTATTACGAGTCATCGGTCACCATGGTACATAATGACCTAGACCTTCGATGGAGAATGACTTCTTGGGAAGGCATTTGCGTAGAAACGGATGAATGACCATCCTCTTTCAGGATATCTCACTCAGAGGTGCAAATTTGGCGAGCGTGATGAGGCTATACCTCAGATTTTGGAGCTCAGGTGCTTCTTCAATTGACGAGCGTTGCTGCAAGCCGGAGTCACTTCCGTTTACCGAAACAGGTTGCGGTTTTTCCGCCGTCTCCTCAGCTTCAGAGAGGATCCGCTCGGCGGTGACATGAAGTGCGCTAGTCGCCCATTGCTGAGTAAATCCACCAGCAACATGACTTTGCGGTAACAAAGGATCCGAAAGCCAAG